CCCCCCCCCCCCCCCCCCCCCCCACCCCCCCCCACCCCCCCCCCCCCCCCCCCCCCCCCCCCCCCCCCCCCCCCCGCCCCCCCCCCCCCGCCCCCCCCCCCCCCCCCCCCCCATTCTGATGTCATCTGATTCATTTCCAACGCTCGTCTCATATGTGAAGAATAAACCAAAAATAACAATATATGCGAGAAAAAGTGGTTATAGCACGGTTGAGCGATTCTTTCGGAAGTGTATCAACTGTTATTAACTTGATGCGAATTGTATAAGACTTTTTGATCTAGTAGAACTCCCTATTCTAAGCATAGCTATAACCTTGAAAAAAAATTAAAAATACTAAAACGGTGTTCCTCTATTTTACGATAGAAAACTCTAAAAATTTGATCACATGTACTACCCATCGTGACGATGATTTTTTGAAGCGAGAGCCTTTTCGCTCGGTATTCTGCTTTTTTGTGAAAAATAAGAGAACATGAAAAAGAATACGCTTGTAGTCTGACCAAAGGGAAAAGACAGAATTAGGACTCACAAGCTGATGGGGACCGCTCAAACCGGTTACGTCGCACGTCATTCCACCAATACGTCATCGTCTTCTCGTCGAAAACAGTAGTAGTTCGAATGCAATTAAGTGCTGTGGCAATTATGAAGAAACCATAACGGAACAAGCTACCGAGCTCAACCTTGCACAGATCGACAGCGCTTGATTTTCTCTATCGAATGAACACCTTTGGATCTAAAATCGGTGGCAAAACTTTTCAAGGACATGGTTCTCAAATCTTCCAATTAGCCCGAACCGACACTAACCATTCATTTATCAATTGATTTTCCTATACACTAACGTTCCCTAGAGTCCCCTTCATAATGGCGAAAACCCGACTTTTATGTCTTGTTCTGTTCTCGAGATATTTGCCCCGGATTTTTATGTCTTTACATATGGAACGGATATTAGACGAAAAGACCAATACAGAACCTCGGATGGTTCGTGGGCGCGTAGAAACGAAGCCCAGTACAAGGTAGCAACATCACTCACTAGTCCAGAAAGAAAAAAATGTAATAAAAGATTAAGATTCGCACGTTAAAGGTCAGTTAGGAGAGATTTTCAAGCTATTCCGGTTGCTGATTAGGTTTCTTCTGAGCCAGATTTGACCGGTTTCTGATACCCGAAAAAAAATTTAATTATAGTGCATTTTGTAGAGAATTTCAAGCTCTACAAAACGGGTATAGTGAGAGTTCCCTCGGTTTTAGAAAAAATTCAAAATCGTAATTTGGTCGACAAAAATCGGTCTCCGAAAACCCGACTTTTTCGATTATTTTTGTTTTCTGTGTTTTGTTCAAGTACGTTTCGTCAAAACATCAAATACATGAATTTGTTCAGTTTTTTATTCTCTATCAAATGAGACCTTGCTCGAAGTGATGGATTGTAAAACGGAGGAAAAAAGTGGAAAATTGTGAATGCAGTCAAGCGATACGCAAAGTATTAGTCTTAAAAAAACCTGGCTGAAATCGAAGAAGATTTTTACATGATTTCTCAAAAGTCATAACCCCAGTTTTATGCGTAGAATTTTTTAATACTATGAAAAAAATACTTTTTTTTTCGTCATGTTATGACGATACTCAACTGACTCGGAAACCATCTTTTAAATACATTCAATGTTGACATCGATTTAAACTGAGTTAAAACTAAACTCATTTAACTGGATTTGGAGCAGATTCTTCACAATTTACATCGATTGCATTTTGAATGCATTTAAATCTATTTAGCGTTGCACCGGTTTAAATGCATGCAAAATAAATAAATTTAAAGACCATTTCCAATACATGTTCATTTCAATGATTTAAACGCATTTATTCTTTGATGTATTTATGTTGATAATTTACATTGACCTCAATCCTATTTACCTTTCAGCAAAAATGAAGCTAAAAATAATCATTCCTGGAGCTATAGCAGTAGTTTGAAATTTCAAAAATGAAAATCTTCTGTTGAACGGCTGTTTCGGGTATCTCCTACTTTTGGGGATGTGCTCAGTATATGTCTGCTATCTCTTGAATGTTATAGAGAAATTCTACTCTTCTGATGTTGGCTCTCTACTCTCGCAATGCACTAGGAAAATTGCTAAGTATACAACTAATATTAATCAAGGATTTTCGCGCAGATTATGAAGGTTACTTATATCCGGAGAATTTTCACGATTTTGAAAAACAGTATTTCAGAATTGTAGTCGTTTTAACTCCTTGTTGTTAAGGGGGTCCCCCATTTAGATTTTTCTCTAACGTTCCCAGTTTGTGGAGGACACTTCGAAGGATATGTCCTGAAGTTTTTTCGGCTTACTGGCATTATTTGGCTGAGAAAAACATTAATTACTTAAAAAAATATTGTTGATGCCCCGTCAAAAAAGAATATAAAGAGGAGTATGATGGAGCACTGTTTTTGGGAAAAAAAGAAAGGAGTAATCTCGATAACCCTGTTCTAAGAGTTACTACGAAGTGCATGTTCTCAAAAGGAGTACTCCAAAAACCACACTTTTTTCTGATGTGCTCGGCAGTGTCTCACCTGCACTTTATAAGGAGTGCTCCGAAGCGCTCTTTTTTTGAGGACTATTCTGGACTACTCCAGAAGAGAGTACTCTAGAGTGCTCTTAGTAGCTTTTTTCAAATGGAGTGCTCCGAAAACGGAGTACACCTTCATACTCCTACTTTTGACCTTTTTTTTGACTGGCTGATGAATTCCACTTCGATTCTGGATTCGGACCAAAGAAAAGATCGTGGTGTGGAATAGTTCCAGTCGCTCGTCTTCTCCTAGTACCATCGTCGTTCAATAAAAAACAGCTAACAGAATTATTATTATGGGATGAAATTGAAGAAAAAGATACGAGTCCGACAGCTGAAAGTTCGCCTGAAGTCAGTCACAAACAACGGTCACAAACAACGGTAGGTGCGTCAGCTTCATTCTCTCGACAGCAGACAAAATTAGATGATTACTCGTTTTGTTTACAAAGTGCACCTTATTCACAAAATGATAATGATAAAAATACTGATAGAATTTTCTTTTTCTTTTTTAAACTTTATTTATTTATTGATGAAACTGGTAGAATTACTAACGAGAATCATCATTCACTTAATAAATTTAGTCTAATTAATCGAATTCCCACTCAAAATGATCAAATTATTGCACAAAATGCGTCTATTCTATCAGTTCTTACTACTTCTACAATATTGTCAATCGAAGAGAAAAAACAAACAAAAAGTCTTGATCCATCTGTACCTATTTTTGATTTTCATGACCCAAACTCATTTCTTTGTTGTGATAATCATTCTCCTACACGTCGTTCGCCATCTCATTCTCAAAATCTTTCATGTACGCCAAACAAAACAAGTTCATCTTCAAATAACAATTCTTGTCTAATTAAACCATCACAAAAATTAAATTCAAATGTAAAAACAACTATTATTTTGGTAGACAGTTTGTTAAAAGATCTAGACCCGAAAATTTTGAGTGACAAAACTCACAATATTAAAATTAGAACACACTCTGGCGAAAATCTCAATGATCTAAACGAAAAACTAAAAAGTAAATATGAAAATCTGCTTCAGACATCAAATACAGCTATTTTCGTTTGTGGAACAAATTCCATCAACAAACAAAGTGTTAGTAAATATATTGAAGAAGCCGAAAGTATAATTAAAACTACTGAATTTTGAAAAAGGTATGTTGTATGATGGACTTCATCCAAATTTTTCAGGATGTCAGTTAATGTATCAAACTTTTTCTAATTTTTTGTATTTATGACGCGAGTGTGCACGTTTATCAGTTCCCTCTATTTTAAGCAGCTTTCGTCCTTCTAATTCCATCTTTTTACTTGAGCCAAAAAACGTTCTCTCTATCATTTCTTATAACATACAGAGCTTGCCGAAGTACATCGATGAATTGAGAAGCTTTTGTGGCGAAGGAAGTCCGTCTATTGCTTGTATTCAAGAAAGTTTTACAGATAGTACCGTTTCTGATCATGAAATAAGTATACCTGGTTTCCTACACTATCGACATGATTTTTCTCGTAACTCTCAAGGAGCAGTTGTTTATGTTAAGAATAGCATTCACCACTCTCTAATCGCATATTCAAAAGAAGCTATGGCTATATTAATAGAGGTTAAGATTAGTGCATGCTCATTTGTGTTGTGTAATGTATATCGCCGTCCT